TCAGCATGACAGAGGACATAGAAACGATCAATAAGAGACAAGAGGAAATGAAGAATACAATTTCGGAACTGAAGAACACAGTAGAAGGAATCAAAAGCAGGCTAGAGGAAGCTGAGGGCCGAATCAGTGAGCTGGAGGACAAGGTAGAAAAAAGCTCCCAGAAAGAGCAAGAAAACGAAAAAAGACTCAAAAGGAATGAAGAGGCATTTAGGGAAATGCAGGACAACCTGAAATGTAATAATATCCATATAACAGGGATACCAGAAGGAGAAGAGGATGAGGAAGGGATATAGAACCTGTTTGAAAAAGGAATGATGGAAAACATCCCTAATTGGAGGAGAGAAAAAGTCACACAAGTCCAGGAAGAACAGAGGGTACCATTCAAGAGGAAACCAATGAGCCCCAGTCCAAGACACATCATCATTAAAATAGCAAATATCAAAGACAAACAGAGAATCATAAAGGAAGCAAGTTAAAAAGAGGTAGTAACATATAAGGGAGCCCCAATACGGCTAGCATCTGACTTCTCAACAGAAGCACTGCAAGCCAGAAGGGAATGGCAAGAAATATTCCAAGTCATAAAAAGCAAGGGCCTACAACCAAGGCTGCTCTACCCAGCAAGGCTCTCTAGTAAAATGGAAGGTGAAATAAGGAGCTTCCCAGACAAAAGAAGGCTAAAAGACTACACCACCAAACCAGCACTGCAAAATATGCTAAAAGGACTGCTTTATGATGAAGAAAAAGTTTCTATGAATACCTAGTTCCCTTCAGGGTTGCCAATACTTGATATTACCAATATTTTTAATATTCATGAATCTGATTGTGACAATGTTATTTTAATTGTTCCTTTACTATTTGTTGAAACTAAATCTTTTTTAGTATATTTCTTGCCCATTTCTATTATTTTTTTAAAAAAAGCTTTAAGTGACTTTTTGGTATTCTTTATCCATTTATTGATTAAAGGTTTGTAGAACTCCCCCCCCAAAAAAATAACCCCCCAAAAACCCTACTAATCATGTTTTAGATGTGTTGCAAATATCTTTCTTTTGTATTCTTTGTCCTTTAACTTTTTTTGTATGTATATTACTTTATAGTTAACTTTTTTTATAGGTATATTACTATATAATTAAATGTTTAATATAGTCATATTGTCAATATTTACTTTATGGCTTCTAAGTTTGAATATTTTTCTTCAGGTCATGAAAAATATCAGTTCCATTTTCTAAAACTCCTTAGATTCCACATATTGATTTTTAACTCACCTGAATATTTCTTGTATAATGTGAAATAGGGCTCTATATTTGTTTTATTTCAAGTAATAGTGGTCCATGCACCTGATTTGTTGAATAAGCCTTATTTTACCCATTAATTTGAAATATCAACTTAATCATATATTATATTCTTAGATATGTATGTTTGTCTCTAGAATGTTCATTATATTTCATTGATCTACTTGATTATTTCTGTGCTGGTGTCATGTTGGTTTAATTGCTGAGACGTTATAATGGTTTTAAATTTTCTTAATATTTTATAATTAACTTCGACATTTAAAAAAATAAGTAAAATCAATCTGCCTTTAAGAAAGAAAGAGAGATGGAAATCCTGCCTTTTGTAGCAACATGGATGGAAGTGGAGAATATTAAGCTAAGTGAAATAAGCCAGTTGATGAAAGACAAATACCATATGATCTCACCTATAAGTGGACTCTATTCAACAAAATAAACTAATGAACATAATAAACCACAGGCACGGCAACATGGAGAAGACTGAAAGTGACCAAAGGGGAGGGGGAAAGAGGACAAAAGTGGAAAGAAGGGGAAGGAATCAGACAAAGAACATGTATGATCCATGGACATGGACAACAGAGTGGGAATTGACTATGGGAGTGGGGGTGGGGATGGGATGGGTGGAGGTGGGTAAAGGGGAAAAAATTGAGACAACTGTAATAGAATAAACATGATTTATAAATTAAAAAAAAAAGTCCAGAACAGGCAAATTTTTAGAGAAGAAAATAGATCTGTGCTTGTCTAAGGCTAAAGAAGTTAGGGAGAAATGAGGAGTGACTGCTAATTGGTACAGGATTACTTTGGGGAGTAATAAATGTTCTAACGTTGACTGTAGACTGATGACTGCATAAATGGGTGACTTGCATGGTACATGAATTATAGCTCAATGAAGCTACTACCTAAAAAACCAGAACAAAACAAAACATCCAAAACTAAAACTGGAGAACTGTTTTCACACTTGTGTCCTTTCTTGGTGTTTACCCAAAATCTAAACCTTCTCTTTAATGCAGTATAATAGTGAACTTACAAAGTAAAGAGCTAACTGTAAAAAAATTTGCAGATTAACAACAGGTATAAAAAAGGAAACAAAATCATTCATAAATTCATATACTTTCAAACTTCAGTGCTTCCTTTTTAATCCTCCCCTCAACCTCACTTATATACATGTATTTTGGGACTGAACAAAACTGAAACCATACTGTATAGTTTTCTTTCCATTTTGTTGTATATTATATGATGTTCTTCAAAAATGTGTTCTCTATGCCTATATTAATTACATCATATGGCTGTACCACAACATATTTATTCTTTTAATTCTAAGGTACTTTATTATTTCCACGTGTACTATTACAAATAGCTCTTTACCAGAATCTCTGAATAACTATTTGATTAGAACAATTCTCAAGAAATAAAAGTACTTTGTTAAAATATGTGAATATTTTTAAGGATCTTATAATACTGCCTTTTGGAAAAGCTGTAGCACTTTATCCTCTCATCAACAATGCATGGGGGCCAAATTTGCATACACTGAAATCATTTCTTTAAGTTTAAACTTTTTAACCAATATGTATGTGAAAAGACTACCTTACCCATTTTGAGATTCACTGCTTACTTGTGATAAACTTATTTTTACACTGTCATCTCCTATAGACATCCTTCCTTTTTATAGTTCCTTCCTTTATAGTTAACTTTTTTTATAGGTATATTACTATATAATTAAATGTTTAATATAGTCATATTGTCAATATTTACTTTATGGCTTCTAAGTTTGAATATTTTTCTTCAGGTCATGAAAAATATCAGTTCCATTTTCTAAAACTCCTTAGATTCCACATATTGATTTTTAACTCACCTGAATATTTCTTGTATAATGTGAAATAGGGCTCTATATAAGTAAACTATCTTTCTGGGATATGCCTTTCTGGGATAGTCATTTTCCTATGGTTTTACTCTGAGAACTCATTTATGTATTCCTCTTTCTATTATATATGTTGCAAAAAATTTTTTTGTCATTTGTCTTTTAATTTTGATCATAATGGTTTTGACTTACCAAAGATAAAATATTTATGCAAATAACTCACTCTTTTTCTAACTTCTTGTTCTAAAAAAAAGAAAGTTGTTTTCTGAAACTGGTATGAAAAATGGTCACCAACGTTTCTGTCTAATAGTTTTTGGTTTTTACATATTTTTCTTTGCAACAGTTATTGAGTAATAAGCACATGAAGATGATTTGCTAATAGCTTTACATGCATGAACTCATTTAATCCTCATAATCACCTATTAGAAAGATCTTTTATCCTTCTCATTTCTCAAATAATGAAACTGAGGTTGGGGAGGTTAAATTATATGACTAAGAATAACATAGGTGCAGAGCAGCAACTTAAAGCTAAAGCGATCTGAGACCATATTCATTCCACTATGCTCACATGCATTTTAGAGTATCTTAATAGAGCTATGCTTTGCTGTAGGGTTCTATCATTATACCCTAACTTCTGAAACCTCTGAAACAATAAACAATTAGTAAAGTATATAAATTTAGTAAGTTGAAGTTCAACAGTTATTCAAGCTGAATAAGTCTGTCCACGCCCTTGAATAAAACTAAAACCTTCTGTTTTATGTTTTTCTTTCTTTTGTTTTTTAAACATCACAAATGTCTCTAAGTGGAAGTATAGTATGGTACTCAGCTTTAGGATGTAACATGGCTGGTTTTATTTTGCAGAACGAGACTAAAACACATTTTATTGGTTGGTCCACAGGACAAATGATCTATGAAGTAACTCTCCCAAAGAATTTACTGTAAGAATAAACTTACCTTGTAATTTTTACCAATGCTCTCTCTCATATCTTTAGTTTTTCCTTTTTATCTGCATTGGTGCTTAAATAGCTACATGCCAGATTCTTGATTATAAGCCTCTTTTTTTCAGTGAGTATTAAAAACTTGTTTCAACTTATGTTTATATTGCCTTGTTTTACTTATGTTGTCATAAACATTCTCAAATTATTTTTGAAAATAGGCAAATAGTAAATAGTATTCATTATAATTAATGCTGCTCAAAGCTGTGAATTCGGCACATTCTTATGCACAGATTTATATGTCCTAGGTTGGAAAGGGAAAGTTAGACATTATAGCTGTGTATACTTAACTATAAAGTGGAACTGGACATAACATCATATTTTAACATTTAAATTAGAAAAGCTTATAAATATGTAGCTTTTTAATTTAAAAGCTACATATTTATAAGCTTTTCTAATAAATATCACATTAAAATTTAAACAATAAATTAAGGCTAATTAAGATAAGACGTTGAGAACTCAGAAAGTTGTGGTTGGAATACCAGCCTTGCCAAAAGACTACACATACCCAACTAATTCTTGATGCTTTCCTCATTCTAAAAGTAACATTTGCCCATTTTATTTTGTTGATAGGCAGAGAAATAAAAAGTTTAAAGAATTAAACACTTCATAAACTGCAGTGCAAATGTTAATTTAAAAAAAAAACAAAACCACAAAGTACTTCTTTTACAAGTAAATCATTTTATGTCTTATAGACTTGAATTGTATTTTATTTAGACTTTGATAATCCAGCTAAAAATTTAGATTTAGGTCTCCCAAGCAAATAGCAATTGTTTTCCTAAACCCCATTTAAACTTCCAGAGTTAAACTTCTAAAATTCCTGGCTTCCTTCACAATGAATGACTCAAAAATCATTCTTACCTTTACACCTTGAATGAGACCATTCATAAGGAATGTGTGTTGAGGAAATGTTTCATGTAGAATCTACAAAAAGCAAACAAACATCAAGACAAATTCAAAAGCAAATTAAAAGGGAAGATTTCTGCTTCTGTTAATGGCAAGTAAGATGGTACCCTGCAATGAACAATTTTTAAGTTTCAATGAAATACGAAAAATATTCTAAATATATGGAAAAGTAACAAGATAGTAAGGCACAAATCTATATATGACAAGAACCTAAAAACATACTCCACTAAGTTGCTTTTGCTACAAGAGCATTTGCAGCAAAAATAAATTGTTAAATAGCTACCCCTTCAATCACCAACAATTTTAAGCAGGTATCACAAAGGTTTTTATCAACCCAGGTATGGACCTGCAGCTCAGTTGTATGTCACCTAGTTAGTTCGGGAAACATCAAGCCTTAAATTTGGATTATATATTGATTCCAGGCTGGTAGCACCTCCGTATGTCTAACAGAAAAATATCTAAAACCACCACTGAAAATGTCATCATCTAGGCTTCAAATCAACCATACATACGTATTTTTTTCAAATATAATAACTAGTACATAATCAAAGGTAATCAGATGCAAAAGGAAGTAAGATACCATACACAAAAAATAGTAACAAGCATGCAAAAATACAAACAGAAGCAGACTATCAAAGACTTAACATTTTGGAATTATTCAACACTGGCTTTAAAATGACTATGCTTCCCATGTTCCAAGATATAGAAAATAAGCTTAATACTTTTGAACTAGAAACTAAAAAGGAACATAGCCATCCTGGAATTTTTTTCTAGATGAATTTTTTCTATGCGTTAAAAATAGATCAATAAAGTTTTGGAGAAGAAAGTTTCTTAAACAAATTTTAAGAAAACACTGACCAAAAGAAAAAAATTAATAACCTGAATTACATAAAAATTATAAATTTCTGTTTATCAAAAGACAATATTAAGAGAGTAAAAAGGCAATCCAAGGAGGGAGAAAAGATTTTAGCAATAGATGCTTGAGTGTAAAAACACAAAATACATGTTCATAAATGTCAAAAAAGAACTTGTATCCAGAATATATGAAGAATTCTTAAAAATGAAAAAAGAACAAACCCAATTATTTAAAACGGATGAAACACTTGAATTGACACTTCACGAAGATAGCCATATGGCCAATAAATATATGTAAAAGGAGTGAACTTCGGTGATCATGAGGAAGGTGCAAATTAAGACCATACTGTACCCATTAGAATGGCTAAAATGAAATGGTAATTGTTTGTGAAGATGTGAAGCCTGGCTATTTGAGAATAAACTGGGTCAAGCACTCTGGAAAACTTTGGCAGTGTATACTGAAGTAGAATGAAACCCTGTAATTTTACTCCTAGGTATATATTATAAGAAATGTATGTATATATATATTTAGCAGAAGACATATACGAGAAATGTCACAAAAGCAGCATTTGTAATAGGCAAAAACTGGAAACCCAAACATCATCTATCAACAATAGAACAGATTCCAAGTGATTTGCTAAAAGTAAATACAGGACTCAGAATGTGTGACACTCACAGTTACAATTTATTAGAGCAAAAGTATATAGTTCAGAACTACAAACTCACTGTTCTGGCCTGAAGTTCAACAGCTTAATGAATAAATGCTTCTCACTTTGTTTTCTGTATTTGGTTGAATTCCAGAGTACCGAAATGGTTGTTTTTGACTGTTTTGTCCAGCTTTATTGGACAGAATAAGTTGACCTCTTTATACTGTCATGCCAAAAGTCAAAGTCCTACAGTAATTTTTTGAAAAAAAGAATTTATGAACTTCACCTGAGAGACCTGTGAAACATTATCAAGTGTAACAACACATGCATAATGAAAGTCCCAAAAGGAAAGCAGATACGGGGTAGCAAAAATATTTTAAAAAATAATGGCCTCAAACTTCCCAAACTTTTAAGATATTAAAAAAATGTTAATGTACAGACCCCAGACGCTAAACAAACCCCAAGTAAAACTAACACAAAGAGATTCACACTTAGACACACTACAGCATAGTCATAATTATTGAAAAACAAAGAAAAAATCTCTAAAGCAGCAAGGAAAAAAAATGAACTACCATGTAGAGCCAAACTGATGAACTTATTCAGTGAAGGGACACATGGCAGCACATGGAAAACATTTTAGGGTACATGGCCTGTGTTGCAACTACTCAACTCTGACAGTGTAGCACAAAAGCACCCACATTCAATAGGTATTACTGATTACTGTGGTCCAACAAAATTTTATGTATGGATACTCACTGTGAATTTCATACAGTTTTCATGTAACACCAAATATTTCTTATGACTTTTTCCTAAAGATGTAAAAACTATTCTTAGTGCACAGACTACATAAAAACATGCAGTAGGCTAGATTAGGCCTATGTACCACAATTTGCACAACCCTGACATAAGGAAAACAATACTTATTAACAGCTGACTTTCTATCATATATAATGGATGCCAGAAAGCAATATAATAATGTATTAAAAGCGCTGAAAAATCTATTAAAAAATAAGAATGAGCTCCAAACATTTTATATATCAAATTTTAAGACAAGCAGATCCACCAATGGCTATCTTATATTTCTGTGTCAACTTCTCTAATAATTATATTAAGTCAGCACTGTCTTTTCTTAAGCATTCACAAGTTTATTGATATACAGACTACAAAATACTGAGGCAGGATAGTAAGAAGACAGAAAAATTCCTGGGCAAGTGGAATGTGGAAACTGAGAAAAAATAATTTAACACAAAATATTTTATCAAGCCAAATAACTTAAACTATTTACAGGTGAATTATCAGACCTTGTCTTCCCTGATCAAGGACACTTGAAACAAATGGTTGATCCTCTTCCTTAACCAGAGAATACATAGCTCAAATCACCCTGGTTGAGGAAATAGAGAACAGAGATCCAATCAATGCCATTTGAGCCAACCAAAACCAAGACTCATGATGTCAGGGGAACAACAAAAACCTGATTATAGCCAGACAGACCCAAGTTAAAAGTAAAACAGTGGAGCTAACCAGGGAATAATACCAAACTCTCCTACATGCTCACTTTGATGTGCCAGCATATTAAAAACACACTAGAATGACAATAAAAGAAAAAAATTTAAAAAAAAAGACACCCACCTAAACTGATGAATATTCTGCTTAAACCCTCCCCTAAGATCCTCGCCCACAGGAGAGACAGAAACCCTCAAGACAAAGGATACCAGTGCAGGTTCTTTCTGGAGCATGCCCACGCCTTTTCCTAAGTATGAATATTTATTTTTACTTTCTTTCTCCTAAACTCTAAGAATCCCCATAAAACTTATAACCAGGGGAACGACGGGCAGTGGCAGCTCATCTTGGGCTTTACCCCCTGAACCTGTCTCCAGATCCTCCCTTTTCTCTGACCTTCCAGTGAGTTAACAGCAGCCCCACCCTGGTTCACTTCTGTCTCTGTGACCTTCACTCCCCAGTGAGCTAACAGCAGTCCACCTTGGCTCACTCCTTTCCCATAAAACTTCTAGAGAGCTAAAGCAGAGCACTGCCTAGGCTCTGTCCTGTTGCTGCTTCTACCATAAGTCCTTCCTTTGTTCCCAAGCTTTAATAAACGTACTCTCAAAATCACGTGGACTTGTGTTATGAAATCTTTCCTGCATTAATTCAAGACCCACACACTACTGGCTTGGCTGGAGGCAGATCTGCTCTGGGCCTGGTCCCCACCCAGTGACAATACAACACATAAAAACAGAACTGAAATAAATGCCAAGCAAATGTCATTTTATCCACTTACTTAATGCTTACTATATCATTAATAGTAAGCTGTGCAAGAAAAAGCAAAGATTTAACACATTGTGAACATTAGTTACAGATACTTTTAGTGAGTGCTACTTATCTCATTTTAGTAATTAAAAAGCACACAGAGGGCAGGTTCTGCTACATTGTAAAAACACCATTAAAAAAACCGTCAAAACCTTAAGATGAGCCTGGAATATCTTGATTCCAGAAAGCAAGACAGTCTCTATGTCACTGTAGTTAGAACTTTACTTCCTTTTCATGTAAAGAGCAAATCACCCAATGAAGTGCCTTTGTCTTAAGCTAAAAAATATCTGGCAAATAGTCTAACCCACCCCCCACCCACCACAATTCCCAAGAGGACACACTAATGAAGTGAAAAAAATGCAGAGCATATAATAGGCTGACGAGATAGAATATATGTTTGTTGTAAATGAGTACATATTGTGACTGTAGGGAAGAAGGGATAAAATAGGAATATGAGTATGTCAGTAAACTGTTTAATGAGCATTCTCTGAATTATTAGATCACCATACAAAGAGGACAGTATAGTCGCAAATACTGGGTTCCAGAATCTCTAGCAGGATTTCAGGAAGGTCACTTGCAAAAGAAAATCTGCAAACTACAAAAATGAAAGTATATCTTTAGTGAAATAAGTGCTCTATTTAAACATATCTGAAGACATTTAAATTAGTTTAATCAGATTACAGGTACTTTATTTTCATTAAAATAAGATGAGTCTCTCTAGAGGATGTGCTTTTGACGTGAGGGTAGAATTTCAGGCATTTCATTTTCTTGTACAAACTACTACTACTAAAAGGTAAGGCTACTGTGTGAGATCAATTTTACAAATCTGCTTCAGTGTTTTACGGATGGACACTTTTCTGATGGTACTTAATTAACAAACTAACGTTGTAATCCAGGACATGGCTAGAAATCTCATACACAGGAAACAAATCTCACAGAGAAAATTATTAAAACAAGGTAAATTGTTGTACACTATTTCAAACAAGAGGGTTCTAATGAGTGCTAAATGTAGAGATAGTCAAATTGAACAAAATATTAAAATGTACATACTGTTCCTTTATCTTCAAATCCTGATCTCAAAACTTTTTCTCACCTTGATGGAAACAGGACAGAGTGCTGTCCACTAGCTATATGGACAGCAAGTTTAAAAAAAAAAAAAGCAAAGAACACACATGAACCACCACCACCGAGAGTTTAACCATGGCAGGTGACAGATTTAGGATGCCAAGAACTGGAAATCTTCAATAGTAAACCACAACATAAAGGATAGGATAAATGAATCCAGCTGTAATGAGATAAACCTTACTTTTTTCCTTTCCTTATCAAACAATCTAACGTTATTACTCTTTGTCCAACCAGAAAAGGCAGGAAGTGAAATGGATATGCCAGAAAAAACCTTTTTTTTCAAAAGAGGGAGACGAACAATTCCCCTGCGTTAAAAAAATGAACGAACAAACAACAACAAAAGAGTTATTAGAAAACTTTGGTATAAAGGTTGAGGAAGGTAGAAAAGTAAAGGGCATTTGACTTAATTTAGCAACATCAAGAGCTTAGAAAATAAGAATAAGCACATCTATTAACTCAGCAACACTTCTATGACACTACAGAGTGTCAAAGCAACGCTAGTAACTCTGTGCTGCTCACAAATAAATGCTCATTTTAGCCAAATTCTTGCAAGCAGCAGCATTGCTTAGAAACTGGGAAGAGAGAGGACAGCAGCATTTTAGCTGGCTGCCTGGGTCTAACAGAGACACAAAAGAAAAGTTATCTGCTGTGGACATGAAGAAGGAAGGTGCATCAGTCCCTGGGGCATATTAAAATGAACTAGTTTAATTAAAATTAAAAGGGATCTGACAATCTGGTCTAGAGTCAAAACAGCTAGAGTCAAAAAGGAGGTTGCAGAATTTCTGACAGGGTATCAAAAATATTAAAGCATTCTTCAATTCAATTTGAATTTTTACCAAATAAAGAATGATTACGGGATTACTTCTGCATTGAGGAACTGGCTGAACGACCACAACAGATTATAAGCAACTGGTTTCATCAGAAAAATACTATTTTGAAACTCTTAGCTTTGTAACCTAGAAAAGCTGGAGGAAAAAGAGAACTAGGACAAAAAATTAAATAACACACCTTCTTAAAATAAGTGGACTAATGTGTCTATATTCATACTAAAAATATGTGTTGAAGAAACAATCACTCCGGGACATATACATTTGTGTACCTGCAACACATATATTTAAAGAAAATACATATTGAGTACCAACTGTGTTCCAGGCAAACAGTGATGAGCACAGCAGGCAAAATCTCATGAAACTTAAAATGAGGACTACTCGTTTCCATTAACTAATAACCAGTTACCTTCCATGGTAAAGCATTATGAAGAAAAAAGTAATGCAATGAGAAAGAATAAAACAGGATAAAACACACCAGCAACTTTTTCAACTGACCATTCCACCCAAGTTGTAATTTTAATTAATCATATTGTATTTTAAATGTGCCACAAGAATTAAAAACTTTTAAAAGTGTACAGCAAAGTCTTACATAAAGCTAATAGGCACCTTCCTAAGTTCTCTATTTTCCAAACCCAACTGGAAACAAAGGTTATTTGTATCCAAAAGGATTTTCTTGGGTAAGGCGAAATGGTGACTGGGAAGGAAGTTAACTTCTAATGATTTTTCAAGAGCAATTAAGATAACTGAAATTTAAGGCCAATTTCAAAATATCTTTATTAAAAAAGTGTTAAACAGTTACTAGGCACCTAAAATCTATAACCCAATCTTTTCTTAGCATCTCTCTTTCCTCTAACCGCACATCAAACATCTAAATTCTAAGTAATTCAACACAGCTTCTGCAAAGATATGACTACAACCCTGGCCAAGTGGCTAAGTTGGTTGGAGCGTTCTCCCATACAACAAAACAGTGTGGGTTCAATTCCTGGTCAGGGCACATACTTAGGTTGTGGGTTCAATCCCCAGTTGGGATGTGTATGGGAGGCAACCAATCAATGTTTCTCTCACATCAATGTTTCTCTTTCTTTCTCTCTCTAAAATCAATAAACATATTCTCCAGTGAGGATTAAAATAAACAAATATATATGGCTGTGGGTAAGCTACCAAAAATAGAAATTTGGACATTCTTACTATTATCACATTCATTGTTACCAGATACTTACCAATCTCCCATTTACTATGTTCTTAAGTCAAAAGCCATCACGTCCATATAAAGTAATTGATAAACTTCAACAAAACTTTGCGATACTTTCCTCTAAGCCATTTTAACTATCTTTTAAAATACATAGTTTATTCATTCTGAACCAAGAGTAGTTCAGTGGGAGTGTCTTGCTACCCAGGAATATTTACAAGCAGCCCAGGTCTTTTGTTGCAGGTGGTTCCATCTACACAGTGGAAACAACCCAATAGAATAAACTGTCTTAACCTGTTGTCAAGAACTACTCTCTAACACATTTAGATTTATGGTCCTGTGAATATATGCTTAAGCACTTCTCTTTTGCTCTTATAGACAAGGGCCCAGTTCAGCAATACTTACAGTTAACATTGGAGTTGTCAATAGGCCCCATGCAAAGAATTCAAGGAAGATTACAATAGCAGCATGGTACACACTTGGTCGGCCAAAGCCTTGTAGCTAAAAAATGAAGAAAGTTATTATGAAAAAAAGTAAAGTGATTTTTAATATCTATTATCTTAAAATGGGGTTTCTATGTCTCTCTCTGTCTCTCTTTATCTCTCTCTCTCTCTCTCTCTCACACACACACACACACACACACACAGAGTATAAATTTTGAAACTATCTTCAGGATGAAACTTCATTCTGCAGTATCCCTGATTCTTTCACCTTCCCTAATTACAGAATCAAGATTACAGACTTTTTACTCATCCCGTCAATACAAATCACTGGAGTTTTGGTAAAAAAAAAATCAACTGAGTCTTCAAGAGACTGAGGTTCCAGGACCTAAGTATTCTCTTAATAATTACGTGTTTCTCAGCAACTTGGCCACTCTAAGCCTGAGCTTCTCTAGCTATAAGGATGGGTAGGCTTTAGAGTTCTGTGCTCAAAAGCTTCAGGGAAGCATAGATGATCTAAATTAATGGTTGGAGGAAAAATAATAAAGATTAGGTCAAATCTGAAAACATACTCCAGAACTGTAAGTGTCAAAACTTTGTTTCTCTTTTAAGACTATGCCTATTCTGCTAGTCTTTTGCAGTTGTGACTTCTGGAGATGGAATCTAAATTTCCTCTGAATTTAATGTTCTTTGACTCTGACAACACTTATGACACGATCAGGGGCTTTGCTAGCACTTGGTACAACTGGAAGTGAGCTTACAAAGACTTTGCAAAACACATACTATTTCTATGCTTATATTTTTAAGTCTTCAAAAGGTAAAATTACATCTGCATGATTGAACTAGAATCTAATCAGGACAAAATGATCAGATAAATCCAGACTGTGGGACACTCAACAAGACAACTGGCCTGTTCTCCTGAAAAATCTCAATGTTATAAAAGACAAAACTAAATGCAGGAAGACAAGAGTCATACAATCAAATTAATGTCTTTTCTCTTGTCGTTTAAAGAGCAAAACCCAGAATGTAGGAAAAAACTGAAATAAGTGACCCAGTTTCTTCAACAAAGAAATGGTACAGAATAGGTAAGTTAAAAAAAGGGGAAAGAACTATGTTAGTATATAGACTTAAAAAAAATTAAGAAATATGTAGACTTTGGGTTTGGACTCAAATAAACTGAAGTGAGACAATTTTTAATCAATCATGAAAATGTGAAAACGGACTGGGTATGAGATGATAACAAAAGTAATCTTCTTCAGGGGTGGCAAAAAATTAATTTTAAAAAATAAATAACTGTTGAAAATTCTTATAGTAATGCACCCTCTACTGCAAAACAACTGCTTCCAGTCAACAAACAGGGTGAGCGTCAACAAATAGCCTATTCTTCTCCAATCATTTGTTTTATTTATCAAGCATCATGCATACAAGAATCTCAAAAAAAACTGAAAAACAGCTGCAAGTAGAAAGAATAGGAAGACTACCCTATTTTTCCTTTGCAGTTTTGATGGTTTGGTGCTCTTTCCCAGAAAATGAAGGTTTATGTATGGGGACCATTGGGATAGAGACCCATGTGGCTATTAGGCTATTTTAAAACATACTTTATTCTGTGTGCACATATTTTCATGCTATTATTTTCAACACCTTGCAAAAAACTAGACAACCCACCTTTTTGTTCACACATAGTTTTAAAAAAATTAACAAACCTCTCTTCTAAAATGCAAACATTACATTATTACTCTCCTCTCTACATAAATTACTTTAAATTGAACTATCACGCATCCCCAGACAATAACAGTGGTATATGAGAAAAAAGGAGCAGGCAGGCCTGGGTATGGTGGTAACTTTGTATGGGCAACTGGATATAAGGTAAAAAAAATAAATCTTCCTTACTTTCAATTCTTTCTAAGTTCCTGGTGGCCAGGAGCTGAGAAAAACAGTGTCACAGGTGTCTCCTTTAAATTATCTGAGCTAATTAGAAAGCCTTTATCAAAACTTAGCCAATTATTTCCAGTTGAGACTGATCTAGTACAGCCTCTCTCAATCAGTTCAATGTATCCCCTCTTTATTTTGTCCTTTAATAAATCAGTATGGAACACCTTGAGACACTTAAGAGATAGTGTGTCATGATGCCTTTACACGCATCATCATCTCTTCCATAAATAACTACAATGGCTTCTTCATCCTGCCTTGATTCCTCTTCCCTGCCTCCTTTCAAATCTTTCTTGACACTATACTCAGGCTGTTCATTCTAAAATACAAATTTCCTCCTATCACTCCTGCACAAAACTGCAAAAAATGAGCCACAAATTCCTCTATTCCTGCATACACAACATTTTTGCAACGTGACTGTGCTACCGATTCCATCAATAGGTAGAGTCTATTTTTCCAATTTCCTGGATTGGGTCTGGCTTAACAAACAGATGTCAGGTGAAGTGACAACATGCAGTTAAACCTAGGCCTCCAGGGGCCTTCAAGACCAAGTGGAGAAATCCCTTCTTGCCACAGGGGGATGAGAGCATTTGAAGCCCTCCCAAATGATGCCCCTTAGACCAATCAGTGAACAGCCATCACCAACTTCCTGACATAAGATCAAGGCTGTCTTAAGTCATCCGACTAAAATTAAGCCTGCAGATGACTGCAGAAGTGTAACTGCACTCTAATCTAGTGAAGAACCTCCAACTGCGCGTTCCCCAAACTGCTAACCCCCAAAATTGTCATGCATGGTTGCTGCTTTAAGCCGCTGATTTTTGAAGTAGCTTCTTATGCCCTTAAGAGTTTACACTCTTAAGACTATTTTGAAGTTCCTTTTGTAGCTCTCCAATTTCATCCCTCAGTCCAAACATAACTCAATAAAATACTTGTGAGATTAAAGAATAATATGTAGCCCTAGCTGGTGTGGCTCAGTGGACTGAGCACCAGCCTGCTAGTCGCCAGTTTGATTCCCAGTCAGAGTACTTGCCTGGGTTGCGGGCCAGGTCCCCAGTAAGGGGTGTGTGAGAGGCAACCACACATTGCTGTTTCTCTCCCTCTCTTTCTCCCTCCCTTCCCCTCTCTCTAAAAATAAATAAAATAAAATACAAGTAATGTTTTATGAATACTATTCTTTTTAAAGATTTTATGTACTTTCAATGTTTTATTAAACATTTTCAATGTTTTAAAACATTTTTTGATATTTTATTTTTTAGCATTTTATCAAATATTTTATTTTAAATGTTTTAAAACTTTTTGATATTTTACTTTATTTATTTTTAGAGAGAGGGGAACGGAGGGAGAAAGAGAGGGAGAGAAACATTAATGTGCAAGAGGTAAGCATTCCACTACTGATGAATGTTTACAGAGTTTTCATTTTTTTAATGTTGTTGCAATTAATAATTTTTAAACTTTTTGTTTCGACATTTTTAAACCTACAGAAAAGTTACCAAATCAGTGCAGAATTCCTGTATACCATTTACCATCTTCCCCAAATGTTATCATCTTATATAATTATGGTACAATTTTCCAAACCTGGAAATTAACATTGCTTAACTACTTTAGCTAATTTACATGTTTCATCTGAATTATTCCATTTCCCACTATCTTTCTTTTTTCTTTTCTTTTTTTTTTTTTTTTTTTTACCTTTTTCTAGTTTAGAACCTAATCCAGGACTTCATGCTCCGTTTAGTTCTCATGTTTCCTTGAGTTCTCCTGATCTGAAAATAGTTCTTAAAACTTTTACTTTTTATTTTCATGATCTTGATACCTACTCTTACCAGTTATTTTGTAAAATGTCCTTCAATTTGAATTTGTCTAATGTTCTCTCATGACTAGATTAATGGTGCACATATTTTATTTTTTTTGAGATATAATTCACATTCCATAAGATTCGCCATTTTCAAGTGTACAATTCAGTAGTTTTTAGTATATTTACAAAGTTATAAAACTATTACCACTATCTAATTCCAGAATACTCTCTTTATCCCGCCAGAAAAATCCTGTACCCACTAGCAGTCACCCCCACTCTTCCCTCAGCACAGCCCCTGACAATCACTCATCTACTTTTTGTTTCTCTGGGTTTGCCTATTCTGGAATCATATATGAATGGAATTCATAAATGGAATCATACAACATATGGCCTATTGTGTTTTGCTTCTTTTTTCCAGCATAATATTTTCAAGGTTCATCCATGTTCGCCATTCAATTTTATGGCCAAATAAAATTGCATTGTTTAAATATACTGCATTTTCTTTATTCATTCATCAGTTTATAGGCACTTAGATTGTTTCTACCTTTGACTATTGTAAACAATGCTGCTATAAACATTGGTGTACAAGTTCTTCGAAGAAGATATGTTTCCAATTCCCTTGACTATATAACTAGGAGTGGAAGTGTTGGAACAATTAATATCCTTTTATATATATGACTGAACAGCATTTTATGATAAATTCCTAGAAGAGGAATTGCAGAGCCAAAAATTATCATATTTTAAATTATAAATTATAAATCATAATTTTAAAATTATTTAAATTGTACAATAAGAACCAGTTATAAAAAAACTGTACAACTGGGTGAAAAAATACTTCAAATTATTATGTCAGCTAATCAACTAATCTCTAACATAAAATGCTTCTTTAAAAATAAATAAAAAGGCTAACAACCCATAGAAAGATGGATAAGAGATATGAACAAACAGTTCACGGAATAAGACATCAAAGCTGCCCTTCAACAACTACATTCTTAATAAGAAAAATGCAAAATTAAGATATATTCACGTACGATTTTGACAAAAGAATGACAATTCCAAAGTTTGACAATATGCTCTTATACTGCTAATGGGAATAAAAAATGGTACAATGAGGAAACATCTAGCAAGATTACTTACAAATTTATCCTCTGAAGTAATAATCCTACTTTAGGATTTGTCCCAAAGGAAGAAATGACAAAAATATGATGTGTCATATGCACAAGGCTAGAGCAACACTATACTAGCCAAAAAAAGGGGTGGGAGGGGGACTATTCATTCAGTTAAGTACAATAAAGTCAAACACTTGTATATTATACACCAGTAAAAAGGAGATCTCTACA